AATTAGCAATCCGAAACAGAATTTGATTTTTTTTCAAATCTTTTATCTCAAATTCAGTTTTCAAACAAGTTGCAGTTTTGTTGAGCTCTTTACAAGTTCCGATTAAATTTAAATTATCAACATAAATTACCACAATTGCAAATCCAATTTTGTTTTCTTTATGAAAACATATGCAGATATCGTCATTTTTATAACATTCCTTCAACAAATATTCGTAATGCGATTGTACTACATGCGTCCGAATTATTTTAATCCATATAATAATCTTGTTAATTTAATTGAGAACATAGTTCTAGGGCATGAATCATTTATTGTTTGAAATTTAAGTCTTCTAATCACTTTCCATTTCTCTAAGGAATTCAGTTTCGCATGTATTGTTTTTTTTTCTATTTTGGTCAATTATTTTTATGGTGACAGTCTTTAACAAATTGTGGTTCATGATCCTCGTTTTACATAATATCAAGAGTCTCGTTAAAGGTGAAAATATTGTCCATAACAACATTATTTCGTTCCCATAATTTATGAGATAACATATAATTTATTGAAATTTAATTATTTTCTGACACTTGTGATTTTTCAAGAACCATATTTTCAATATTTGATTGATCAATCTTTTCTAATATTACTTCTTCTGAAGTTTATTTGTAGGTATTTCTCTCGTACTCTACTTTTTCGAGGTACAGAGTCTATTGAACCAACTGGTCAATCACGCTTCTAACGTTTTTGAGATTCATTTGCTACNAGATTCATTTACTACATAAAATTATCCTGTACGGCATCAATTTTTGATGAAATATTTTCTGCGGGTATATATGACTTTGTCATTTTTCTAATATCAACAAATATACCTGGTAATTGATTTGCAACTCTTTGCAGATAAATTATTTTTTCAATTTCTTGCTCACATTGATTGCTAGGAGATCAAAGTAAGATATAATTATTTCATTCCAAAAAAATTATTTTGTTTATCAGGATATAGGTTTTTCCCTCCAAAAATTGAAAAAGTCATTTAATCAAAATGACAATTTGGAAAGCGTACATTAAATAAATCACCCGTTAAAAGTTCAAGATACCTAATAGTAAATGATGAATCAAAATTCACATAAATTCCAAGTTTTCGTTGAGAACCTATTTTAATACATTGTGAGTGTGAAATAGGGATTGAATAGCACATCAAAAAACTCGCATGTGGGAAATATTAAGTTTATGATCAAATGTTAGTTGCAAAAGTGAAGCAGAGAGTTTTGTAATATGATGCAACATGTAATATGATATGACCTCAAACAGAAATGAAGAGTTTTGTTTTCAAGGTAATGGTCTAGCAATAAGTTGTAGACATTTAATAAATGACTCCATTAAATCATTGTGTGTATGGATATGTGCAACTAAATTATTAATAACAATTCTAATTGACATACAATAGTCATAGAATGTTTGTAATATAAATTCATCAGTATTGTTAAGACAAATAGTCTTGATTAAATAATCGGGGAAATACATTCGTAATTTTATGATTTGAGCAAATAATCTAGCAAAAACTAGATTTCTAGTGGAAAATAGGCAAACATGTGACCATTTAGTAGAAAAATCAATTAATACTATAAAATAACGAAATAGTCCACATGGTGAGTGTATTGGTCCACGTATATCTCCATGAATTCTTTCCAAGAATGTTAAAGATTCAATATTGACATTTGTAACCGAAAGTCTAATGATTAACTTGCCTTGCAAATAAGCTACACATGGATAATTATTAGGTAAAAAAATCTTCTGATTATTTTGTCAATGTAAGTTGTTTATTATTCGACGCATCATTATAGCTCCGAATGTCCTTTCGATCATGTCAAAGTATAAATTTTTTTGAATCAGTGAACTTCTGGTTCGTGATAATATTTCATTCGACTATTTTTCTAAATGTATAATACATGTCATATGGAATTGCATGAAGTTTTTTTTTTTTTTTTTATCTTCTTCTATACATATATAAAAGAAGTTATACAAATATATTCAATATTATTTTCGTGCATCGTCTCATTGTGATATCCATTGCAGCAGATATCTTTAAAGTTAAGCAAATTTCTTCTGAATTTGTTAGAATAAAGTGCATCTTCACTATATAATTTTGTATTATTTGGTAAAATAATACAAGTTCTTTAGGAGTTTTCAACAATATTCAACGCACATGATATCATATTAAAATTATTTTTTATTAATGTTAAATCTAAAAAATATTTTTTGTTTTAAAAAATAATGTATAGTTGCACTATCAATCAAGCAATTATTTTGACAATCCATCATGAATCTTAACTAAATTTGAAAGAATTAAACTTTCGTACTAATAACGTATTGTAAAAAGAGAAAAAAATGAGAAGGAATAAAAATCAATAAATCTGTATGTATTATAATAAAAACAAAAGTTCTATATTTATAGAGAATGATTAAGTATACAATAGTAATAATTTTTAGGGCTACAAGGATATAATTGTCATATACTAATAAACTTATCATTTACAACAGGATTCCATTTTTTTTTTGAGTTGTTATTACAAGCAACCGTACGTCCAATCCTTACTTCAAGTGGTTGAACTTTTTCTCGCATTTATTTTACACATTTTTTTGGTAAGTCGAGGTTCTTGTAACTTTCCATGTGAAATTCCAATTGTGTTATTTCGTGAATGAATGTGGATGTGTTAAGAGATAAATTTTATATTGAATAAGTTTTGGTATATAGATCAATATAAAGAGTTTGTGTTACTTCTTTTAATAAGATTAATTTTGTAAAAGAAAATTCGAATCTTAATATAGATTGGTATCAGATTTCATTAAATTTCAACGTGCCAATCAATTTAATTAAGACTAAAAATGGAGTACAAGAATTTCAAGATTAACATTTTCAAACGAGTCACTATCTTCCGATAACATATTAAGGGATATATATATATAAAAAGGTTTGAGCTACCTCTTTCAATACCGTTGATCTTAGTTTTAAGATAAAATTTCAAATTTTAATAGGATGAAATATTAATTTCTATCGTATCATTAATTTGTCAGAACTGCACCGACTATTTTTATTGAATTTATTTGAACTGTGATAAAGCTAACTCTATATCCCCATTCCTATAAAAGAGAGGATGCTTATTTTACTGTTGACCTAGAATGGAGAGGAACTGTAGCTTAGCCTTTATTATGACGAAGGGTCAAAAAATTAAATTAAAGGTTCCCATGTCACACGGCTATTTGAGGATTTTAAAGGTCATAACTTCTTATTATTTCCTGTGCTGAATAAAACAGTACAAACAATAAATTAAACTAAAATTTTAGTTAGTGGTTAAGAAATTAAAAGCGCTATTTAATTTTCATCTGCGTAGAGGCTGCTCGAAGCGTCTCTTATGGTTTGGAAATTTTTACGTTAAATTATTAGTCAATTTCACGAGTTGAGAAAAGTAGTGCATATTTTGGCCATAAAAAATACGTCACATAAATTCATATTTCAATTGAAAACATTAGGATAGTTTATGTTGATGGCGAAAGATCGTGTATTTTAGATAGAATAAAGTGTTGAATTGCTAGAATTTTGACAATAACGCATAGAATTTTTTAATTCGAAACTCCTTCTAATTCACCATTCATCCCTTTATATAGGTTGATGGCCTCGAGCTTTTCTTTCAAATTATGTCAAACTATCGTGTTTTCACTTAGGATTGTGTGTTACTGCCCTATTGAAGGAATCTAAATAGTTGTTGAGTTCGACTGCAACGAGATTATCATGATACTTAGTCCTTAGGCTTGAGTCCTAAACCATCTGTCACGTTTCGAATTGATTGGCTTGGAAGGGAACACCTTCTCTATCATATCATGTCGGTCATATCATGATGATGTTTTCATGTAACGTCTCACATGATTCTATTCCAATATATTGATGATATTCATGGTCAAGTTTTCGAACTGAACTATTTAGGCTCTCTGACAAAGAACTCTTTCGACCAATTCAAGATGGATCCTCAACTGAGTCAATGTGAATTTAAGAAGTATAACAACAATTTATATATAGGTACTAAATAGATAGTCTTGCTATTTTCTTATTAGTTATTCAAAAAAAAAAGAAAGGTAAAAAGTGGAAATGTGGTCACCTTGAGGCTCGATCAAAGTGTGAAGAAATTTGCACCAGTATCAATCAAAAAACATAAGTGGTTAGTGCCGATGCTAAACTTAAGTACCTATAAACAATGTTCGTGGACGATAACATGAAGTCCACTTTTCAATTTCATTCTCCAAAAATCATTTTTAATTATATATTATTTCAATAAAATAATTTTACAACTAAAACTTAGAATTTTTTCTTACTTTTAATTATACATTAATCAAAAAATCACCATTACAAAATTCAATTTTTACAGAAAATGGGGCTTATTTTCAATGAACTTAATATTTGTACTCTCTCAACAATTTAAAATGATTAATGCTCCAACCATTCCAGAAGGGGGTGGAGGTGGGGGTCCGGCATCGATTTATAATATCAAAAGAAGGGCGGCAGTAAATCCAACCACCGTGTCGGGCCGGGGCCGTACAAATAATACGTCGGCTTTGTTAAATAGTGAGTAAATTATTTGCTTGAATAGTTGAATAAGAGACAAATTCGAACCATTCTTACCACAGAGATGGTGACGGAGAGAAAATGATAGACTGGAACCATTCTTACTACAGGATTAATTAACATATATTTCATTGTTAGAAACAGATAATAATTTAAATAAAATTATGTTTAGCAAAATATAATTAAACTTTAATGTTACAAAATACAGGTCAAACGATGAAAATCTTATACAATAACCGGCCAGCGGTTAGAATAATTTCTACAACACTGACATCTTGTCCTAAAGAAAACTATGTCCTCGTATATAATTTTTTAATATATATTTAAAACTTTTTTAAAATTCCGTCTACGATTTGTTTACAATTTAACATATGAACTCTATCCCTCAACGACAAAATTGTCATTGTCACATGATGAAGCAACCATTAGGGTTTTCGTCGCTAAACATTTGATCATCTATATTCACATAGGTTGGCGGTGGAGGAGGAGGGCCCTGTGAATATTGTACCATGTAACCAGTATTAGCATAACCTTGGTTGTACATTGGTACATTATAGTCGTGATGGACATAATTTTGATTGTACACTGGAATTGCATAGTGTGTATTGGGATTGTGCGTCTGGTATTCCATTTTGTTCACCTCAACTTTTGTTCCTTCGCTTTTGCTTCCTTCTCCGCCACCACTCTCTTTTTTCTCACCACCCTCTTTCTTGTCTCCACCGCCTTCCTTTTTCTCTCCGTCACCATCTTTTCCCTTCTTGTCTCCACCACCTTCTTTTTTCTCTCCGTCACCGTCTTTTCCCTTCTTGTCTCCACCACTTTCGTCTTTCTCTGGAGGAACAATTTCTATGCTCCGGTTTAGCTTTTCTTTCAAGTATGCCGTAAGATGCTTTACGTCCATTGTCCCATTAACCGTCACCAAATCCTTGTCTAAATTTGTCGACACCGAATCAACTCCTATATTAAACGAAACATAATATCATCATCAATCTTGGGTTGGCCTGATTCATGCCTCTTATTTTAAAATTATATAATTAACTAATCTAATGATCGATTAGGTCAACTCACCATCAATGTTCTTATTTATTATCCTCTTTATTTTATGTGCACATCCGTCACAGTGAAGTTTAATCTTCATTACCACTGTAGTAGGAGTAGGCTGAACAAAAAAAACAAAATTGAAATAAATTAGTCAAAATTCTCTCATAATAATTAATTCAAATAAATGAATTTGTTATTTTTTTTTCTTTTTACCTCTTTGGGTTTTTTATCCTCGGCCTTTTTCTCTTCTGGTTTTTTGTCGGATTTCTCTTCTGGTTTTTTATCGTCCTTCTTGGGCTGAGGTGAGACCAACTCCACCTTCTTCTTGGTCTTGTATTCAACTCGCTCCCTGAGCCATGCCGGGTCCACCTTCCCGGTCACAGTCAATTTATTGCCTCCCCAATCTGCTTTTACATTCTCAACTCCTATACAATTGGACAACCAGCTCAGACACTGAGTTTCCAAACTCCATTAAAGACGTTTGACTAATTTCTTGTTCTCATTTTTCTCAACAAAATATATTTTTCTTGCTCTTCATTTTAATTATAAAATCCTCGATAAAATAATATTATACGTAAATTCAAAAATTTTTTTTAATTTTTTAATCACACATTTTTCATCAATAACATTCCAAAGTATATTTAAAAAAAAAAAAAAATTGAAGCTCAAACAGACGGCATGAAAAGTTTACTTACAAAAAAGCAACTTTGTTATTAATTACTTCATTTGATATCGATGCTTTATAAAATACCAAGAAACATAAAAATTCAATTCAAAAATTTGAACAACGGTAAAAAAAAAAAAAAATAATAAAGAACAACGGTAAAAAAAAAAAAAAAATAATAATAATAAAGAGAGAGAGAGAGAGAGAGAGATTTGAACGTTATGTTTAAGAAAAGAAAAACAAGAAACTAGTCTGTATTGATATATTCCATAATTACACTAAAATGATTAAAAAAAAAAAAATTACTTATTCTCCCTTACACTTAAATTACGTTACAGATCCTACTTTTAATTCTTGGTTTCTTAGAAAAATGCTGTAGCTATCGTTTGGTGACCTAATCATTAATTAGATGGCAAAAATTTAAAACATAATTTTTTTTAGTACCTTCGAAATGGCGAACGGAGCGTCTGACTTTCTTGGCGCAGCCTTCACAATGCAAGTCCAGCTTCAACACGACGGGGATCGGACTGTCTTCTTTCTTTCCGCCGCCGTCCGCCTTCTTCTCGCCTTCATTCTTATTCTCTTTTTCAACCTTCGTCTCATTATTCTGAAACAAAACATACATAGAAATGTAAACAATTGAGTAAAAAATCAATTATTTTTGGCATGGAATTGAGATTAAGGAAAATAGCTACCTCGCCCATTTGATTTAGGAGTTTTTTTAATAGTATGACTGTTTAGGTGAAAAGAAATGTAATAGTTTGCAGATAGAAAATGGAGGCAACGGCATGAATGAATTTATAGAGAATCAAAACAGAAAAGTATTGCGTTTTCTTGAAGTCATATTGGCCCACTAAATAAAAGAAAACAAAATCAAACAAATAAATAAAATAATTCAGTGGTGGGCCATTATGTATGTAATGGATGTCAATCATGCCATGTATGATATATGGGAGATGGGAATGAGAACGGGATGCCGTCGCATTGCAGGTTTTTTCCGTTCCTAAAAAGGGCGTCTAGTCTACAGGCGAAATTTGACTTTACGGTCCAGTCACGTTTTATGTTTTCTTATGCACAGTCCGGTCAAAACTCAGAAAAAATTGAAGTTTTACTTTGTCCACTAATCACGTTTTACACATTTTAGAACATTGATTTTCGTACAGTTGAAATTGGTAAATATTGACTAATTTGTCACTTACGACGGTCCAAAAAATTTAGGTGCGGTTTCACTAACGATAGTGGTAATTACAAATTACAAACTCCAAAATTTACTATGTGCCAAATTAATTATATAATCTAATCTAACGATAAACAACTGAAGGATAATCCCGCAATGATTAGAATAAATTGACGTTTTTCATCGTCGGATACCATGGTCTTTGTCCATGCTCTTTTAATTAAGGTTGCTAATAAGGCATGTATTACCGTGTCTGTTCATGCGTACAATTAATTTAAAGAGATTTCATTTTAGCTCTGTCCTTGTTAAAAAATAATTTATTGGACCGTCACAAGTATATTACTCGATGTTTGTTATGTGTACATTTCCTTTGACAGATATGTTGATAGATGGAAAAAAAAAATTATTTTCTAGTTTTATTTTGTTCATCCTATCTGTAAAACTGCTTGTATATGTAGCACATCTCATATCTCGTCGATTCCTGACTCTGCCTCTAATCGTAAGTGAATATTTTATACTCCCTCACTTTTTAAGTTGTCGGAGTATTTGTAACGACTTTTCAAAGAAAAACTCAAATGAATAGTACTTGGAATGAATTTAGGGAAAGTCTTGATGATAAAAGGCTTGTATTTGAGAAAATTAACTATATATATGTCACCATACACCATTTTTATCACATTATTTGGCTCCTATCTTTAAACTAATTCTCTTCATTATAAGTCATCATCAATTTGATACATTTTATTTTGATAGTTTTGTAGTTGTTTGTCTTCTATGATTAATTTTTCTATTTATATGAAAACTCTATTTTTCTAATTATTGTCTCCACTAATAATTTTCGAAGCAAATAAAAAAACTATTCTTATGATTCATGGACTTTTGAAAAGTAAAAAATTCTTTTTGAAAGTAAAAAATTGTTTTTAAACATGTTTGAATAATATATTAAAAGTTCTTTTTAGAAGTGTGAATGTAACTCTCTTGTAAAATACTTCTACAATAAATAAAAGTAAAAGCAAAAGTTCTATCAGAATTCTTCGGGTGCATTTCATTGCAAGTATGGAATTTGCATAAAAAAATAAATTATAAAAGAGAGAGAGAGGATATATAAGAGAGAGAAAGAGATAGTGAGTTCCCTGAAAAATAAAATCATACTCCTCCTAAAAAAACATTTTCCTTGATTTTAAGGAAAATATAGCCACATGACCAAAAATAAGAAAATATTTTCCATGAAAAAGGTCAATCAAACAGTACAAAAGTAGAAATTTGGATGAAAAAAATATATTTTTCATAAAAAATATTTTTAGTCAAATGCACCTTTATAATATTTGTGTAGTATTTAGTTAATACATGATAAATGATAAAGGAAAATAGAAAAGTAGCTGTGGGCGAAACTTTAATTACTAATTAATTCTTGATCTTTCTAGAAGAGTGTGGCCATGGGGTTAGGTGAATTCAAAGAAGGACGGGGGTGGCCCATGGTCCAATTAAGGTCCATTACACTAAGAGAAAAAATTTAGGACTAAACTAATTATTTTAAATTTTTTAAGTCGACCTAATATTTAAAAAATAAAAAAAAATTCAAATAATTTTTTTTACATATAATATTTTTTTACACATAAATTTTTTTAAGGAAAAATTACAGCTACGATACCAAACATTTCATTTAATGACAGACTTGATTCAAACTTTTTATTTGTGCCACCCATGATACTAAACCTGCCAAAAATTCGCACCATGAGTCCAAATATATGGAAACTGTTAATTTGACTATTAGTTGACTCTAAAAACTTATTTTGACCAAATCAACAAAGGGCAAAATCATAACTTCATAATTTTAACATAAAATAATATAAAAATTCAGTAAAAAAGAAAAGAAAAAAAAAAGATAACACTATTGACCTTCAGCCCACCCTAGCCACCCCACCCTACCCTGGAAAATACAATGGTACCACCGTCGGAACCAATGCTAGCACAACAAAAGCGTCAGCCCAACATCCACTACGACAATCCCTACACCTACAACCATTTAGAAAAGTCCCCAATTGGTCCAAAGCCATCAAAAATCCAAAATGACCACCAAGTATCACCACCACCAAAAAAGTCAACAAATCGCCCTCCGAATCACCACGTGTCGAGCAGTCCACAATCCCAGCATACGCACATGAGTTACTGTAATCCTAGCAAATACACAAGTTTTTGTAATTCCAGCATCCAATTCCAATCCACACTCCATTCACATCCACCAAATACATACATGCACACACACAATCTTCTGTAAATCTGATTGTTGGTCGAATTTACAAAGGAAATTGAATTCAAACCTAATTGTCGCAACTACCAGGAGGAGAAAGAACAATTACAACCAGTAGCATCAATGTCGTCCTATGTCCATTACCACCACCAGTTCACCAGTCTTTAGAGTTTTTTTCCAGTAAAATCAGCCATCAATCTTTGGAAGTTTAGAAGAAATACCATTATAACAACTACAGTAACCGAAAATAGGTAAAAATTCTCATCACTGCAAAAGGACCAAGGGATCGCCACGTTTACCTTGTCGCACATACTTCCTTCAATTCTATGATGTACATGATCGCCTTGGCTATGATCGCTCGAGTACAACGGTAGATTGGTTAATAAAGAAGGCTAAGGCAATCATTGACGACCTTGCGCAAATGCCGACATGGAAACCAGGTGCGGATCCACATGGGATCATGTGGGGTCAAATGACCCCACAAAATTTTTTTTTTTTTTGTGTTTTTTTTTTTAACTTTTTCCCCATTATTTTTTGTTTTTACTTTTTCCCCATGATTATGTAAGATTTAAACCACCTAACTAGAAGAATGATGTCAAAAGTAGTGTCAAAATTTTAGATGACGAGAGTTGATTTGATGAAAAATGAGACTTTGTTTTAAACAGTCAATGATAGAATGTCATTTAATATTATGTTAACTATTATGTCAATTATTCTAACACTCTAGTATAGTTCAAAATTTAATTCATTGATCACTCATCTATTCTAACGGTTACCTATTCATCAATGATTTGAAATTCATTATTCTCAAATTGGCGACAATCATTGCATGCACGACAAAACTGACTGAAAAAATAGTAGAACTTATCGTGCCAAGTGTTTCCACGACCAAAGATCAAGCGATCGCTAAAAATTAATAACAGCGACCACTATATGGTCACTGGTTGGGTGTCATATTCATCGACCACCTTCTTTGGTCGATGAAAATGTTAAATTTAAGTGAAAAATCATGCGTTATTTTACGTAGCAGGTGTAATGGCTTTGTTAATTTGTCTAATTTGGTGATTTAAAATAGAATTGTTTGTAAGTATTTTCTGCAATGAAAATTGTCAATAATCAACTGCGTAGTCGGACGGGAGATCAATGGTTAAGTAATAGTTTGGTTGCATATATTGATAACGATGTATTTAACAATATTGATAACGATATAATTATACGACGTTGTTAGAGTATGAAAACACGTAGGCTATAATTGTAACAACGTATTGACTTATTTTCATTAATGATATGTACTTCTAAATATTTTTGAATTCTCATTTTTGACCCCACAAGACAAATGGTTTGGGTCCACCTTTAATGAAAACCCACCACTGATTCATCAATAGATGCAAGTTTTGAGCAAGAAGATAAATAGAAAATGGGGATTCCGATGACCAACTAGGAAGTGACTGTGTGTGCTTGTGGAAAGAGTGGTGGTGGCCCGGTGGTGGATTGGATGGGTTTTTAATTTGTTTTAGTTAGAGTTGGGAAGAAGAAAAAGATTTTTGATTTTTTTATTTTTAAAAGGGGATATGTGATATGACTAAAATGCCCTTGTCTTTTTTTGGTTAAAATTATCAAATTTTGAATTTTTAGGTGAACGACGACTTAACTAACAGATTCCATCATATTGGACTTTAGGTGTGAATTTTTGAAATGTTTGATACCATGGGTGGCACAAATGAAAGATTTGGATCAAGTTTGCTACTAAATGAAATGTTTGGTACCATGGCTACAATTTTCCCTTTTTTTAATGAATTGGGTTATCCCGTGCCACTAATCTGGTTCTTTTGAGATTTAGAGCATCAAATCTAATTACACCATATGCGTACGATATAACTAGTAAAAAGCTCAAAATATCGATTCAATTTTTAATAAATCAGATTAGACCGACCAATTCATTTAAGACTGGACACAAATTTGCCCAACCCTACGTGAATATTATATTTCATAGCATTCAAAGTCAATATTCAAATGTTCAAAGGTTTGAAGATGAAATCTTCATGAATTGAAGCTCACAAAGTACTCACGGGGAAATAAAATTAGCCAGTATTTACTTTTACTTCAAAAAATCGAGGGTTTTAGCATGGTGAACTTGATTGTAGAAGTTACAATATTCGACTTCTAATTTTTTTATTTATTTTCTACATCCAAAAAATCGTTTGTTATCTAGATTCTGTCACATCATAACTAACTCGATGAATGAAATCAAATATTGAATGATAATAAAGTACAAT